AGCTCAGGTCACACGACATAGTTGATGCGTGTGAGCCCGATAGAGTAGGCCAGTTTTCTTGGGGGTCGGCTACGTTGGCATATTTGTATCGCCAACTAGGATTTTCGAGTCGGGTTGACGCGGCAGGTATCACTGGGTGTCTGACTTTATTGAAGACCTGGATATACGAGTATTTTCCTGCATTGCGACCACACCGTGACCCGGTTTCTGTTGATGATGGGATGTCGCGTGTGTGTGCGTGGAATCCGCAATTGGAGAAGAAGTCCGTTACCCGCCTCCGATTGATACGGTTAATGCTTGACAGGATGTCCCCCTTAGAGGTAAAGTGTATAAATTATTTCTAAATTTGTACTGTAATGCATTTATTATATTTATCTTACTAATTTGAAAAATTATGTGCAAGTGAACTGGATGTCTTTCGGCCCGAACCCTAGTAACAGGGTACCCAGGACCCTCTATACGGGACTCATTCAGTATCGTGAGATCGTGGAGGCGTACATGCCCCGGCGATGTCTTCGCCAGCTTGGATTCGTCCAAGTTGTCCCTCCTCCACCGGCATGGCCGAGTAAGGCGGTCCGATCTGCATCGTCGAAGGAGTACGTTGTCCAATGGCCGGATAGCATGATTGCCACGTGGGAGCAGTTTCCGATGGTTGCGCGCTTATGGACTGCGGAGTTGCAGAGGCCGCCAATTGGGGTGCCTCCCATGTGTGACCACTACTACATGGAATGATACAACCGGCATTCGCACCCGAGGTTGATTGGAGACCTCGACCATGGCGACCACACCGATGCTCATGATATGCCACCGCCCACTGCCGTGGAAGCGGTATGTCTAAACAAAAATTTATTGTTGTGTTTTTTGTAAGTGTTATATATCGTTATTCAATTTCATGTTTTATTTTTTGTTGTGTGTAGTGGATGGGAAAGATAATGCAAGGCGTACAAAAACTCTCTCTGGAGAGGGACAACATGAGTGCAGCAGGGAGAGCTGCTGTTGATGAGTTGGAACAGACCCTTGCGCATTGGGAGTCGGCGGCAAAGAGGGAATAATGATGTTTTTGGCAGTTTATGTGTTGAACATTTTTTACATTATCATATTAGTTTGTGAAATAGTACATTATCTTTGTAGTTTGCAGAATTTAAAATTATCGTTTTAGTTTTTTACATTTCACATAATCGTTTTAGTTTTTAACATTTCACATTGTCGTTTCGGTTTTTCACATAGGAAATAGTGTACCTATGAAAAACTAAAAGGCAGCTAGGGTGTTCCATTGATGGATCCGGTCATGATACAACGCATCCAAACCCTCTACGCTTACTGTGCGACTGTCGAACCACCGAGGTATGATCGGTGGCACAGGAAAATCGGATGACTAGTCCAGTCGGATGAAATGTTTGTATGACGACCCAAGAAATGCAATAGCTAACTCTCTGACCGGTGTAGTGACGGTCTCATGCGAAGACCAAGGGAGAACCGTGGTACAAGGATAATAAGCTCGACTATGCAATCCTAGCCTGAAATGCATTACTGCAACTTGTAAATGTTTGCAACGGCAAATAGATCTAGTGGTGCGTCGAAATAGTGATTTAAGCCGCAAGGTCCTCCTCCCCACCGGATACGCCGCAGAGCACTATCTAAGCTGTCATGGTACACATGACGATAAACATCTCGGTTAGAGGCAATTTCACTGTACATCAACTGACGCACTAAACAGTAGTTGTCTTCGCCCATCTGAAACACATCAGCCACGACCCGGAATCCGCAGTTACCATCTCCAACTACATCATTCCACCCGTCTAAGTATGACATGATGATGTTAGGTATCCTATCCTTGTATGGAAACTGATCAATATCAAATCTTCCTGTTGAACATATCATTAAACACAGTGAACAAGTCAGCAGTAAACTCAAAACCAATATAAAACATAAATTAAAGTAAGCTATTGTACCAGTGCCGGGCATATTCATAGACGAAGAAGACTGGCTACGACTGGATGACGATGTACGACCACGACCACGATCATGACCACGAATGTACTCAAACGCACTCCTGTTCCGCCGTTGGCGACCTCTAGGTCGCTCGACCCCTTCAGGTTCCTCGTGATCTAAGCAAGACGTGTTGAACATGTCATGAAGTACGTGAGTAGCATCACGAATAATAAAAGGATGACTGGAGGATACTCGGTCATACATCGAACAAAACTGCTCCAACTCCTCTTGTTCATGGTCCACCGTCTGTGTATCTGCATACTCACAAATAACGAGCGTCCGCCAGAATGGATGAACCTGATCAACATGTAACGACGTCCTATCTTGGGTAATTACGCGGTGAATGGTGCATGCGCAAGGTAATCCATGAGTTATTGATATAGCACATCCACATCGTTCATCCACTTTATCAGCCAACTCCCTCATCCTGTTGTGCTCGGTCAGAATCAACCCCAAGCAGTAGTGTGACACACGACCATGGAGAATCTTAAATATGAAATGGCCATACATCATACCATGTCGCCGCCTAGTGTCCTCGAGATAGTTCTTGATGCCGTTCTTCTGAGTTTCAATTGCCTTTTTTATTCTCTTGAACAGTGTATTCAGAGTAGCGGTGGATGAATCAGTCCAGTCCTTCGTAGCTCTATGAGCGCTCTCAACTCTACATGTTGTAGTGTTTCCAAAATGAAGTACTTGGTTTGTCCAATATTTGACAAACTTTTCCCTGTGAGGTACCCACTGCTGCATCACATAGTTTACCAGTGCCGGACACCATTGGTACGAATCCCTGAAGTTAGCCAAGGCTCGATCGTACTCTGCCTCTGTGGTAGCTTGCGGGATCTTCCGCCACTTACCATTTACCAATCTCTCTGCACTTTCCAAATTCTTGTTGAAAAGGTTGTAGGCTTTCACTTTCACACAGTTGTTGATGTGCCATGTGCACAATAAGTGCTTCGATTCTGGAAACAGCTCTGCTATGGGGGCAAAGAGACCTCCCTCACAATCACTGACGATGGCTGATGGCTGAACGTTAGGGCCGATGTAGTTTCTCAGCTTCTCCAAGACCCAATGATAACTCGCAGCCGTCTCATCCTTGATGATTGCATGACCAATTAGAAAGTTCTGGTTCATTGGAGTCATCCCAATCATCTCAACCAGTGGGAACCTGTACTTGTTTGTCTTATACGTTGAATCGATCAAAATCACAGATGGCCAATACTTGATCATATCAGCACAATCAGGATGCACAAGGAATAGATGAGTCACCTCCGCTGTATCTTCATCAGAATCAAACCAGAACAGGTAACCACGTGCTTGTGCCTGGTGTAGAAGCTGTTGTATAGGGTTCCTTCCCTCTGATCGTTCAAACCTCAGTTTCTGTCTGACGTTGTAGATGTGTCTTCGGTTTGGCTGGTCTTCAGGAAATTTCTCTAGCACAGATGCTAATATTTTAGCAGGCTTCACTTGAGCATCACTCATTTCTTTGACAACCAGTTTTGCACCAGGACTTAAGCTGCTCAGTTGTCGATGACCCACTTCATATACTATCATCTCATGGTTGTGATACCCCCATTTAGAGTAACCTTTCACTTCCCAACCGTCAATACTTACTAGTTGCCAAACCTTTATTCTGAACTCACACCCACAACCTTTCCGCTTTGTATCGAACCGAGTGGCTGTACTGAAATCTCTTTCTTCTCTTTTACGATAACGGTCGCATCTCAAAATGCGATCCATTCTACCACCCCGTTGAGGTTTATGATTTGCTACTACCAAGCAAAAACCAGAAGTAATTGCAACCTGTTTAGCCCAATCAATCGCTTGTTGAGCATTTTCGAAGGGACCATCATGTACAAATATCCCACTGTAATCACTTCCGTCTCCACCATAATCCTGCATCAATTTGATATTATATTTAAATACATATATTTATGCAAAGATTAAACTAATAGATTTAACACAACATTAACACATAATTAATATCTACATTTTTAAATTGTAAATTTCCTTTCTATATTTAACGCATAATACTTTTAGTTTATATATTTACACATAATTAATACAAAATTAAAAACATAATTATGTATAACAGTATTCATACACATACAAAATTAAAACATAATCATGTATAAATGTATTCATACACATAAAAAGTTAAAATATAATTATGAATAAAAGTATTCATAAACATACAAAATTAATACATAATTAATTTTTTTTAAGTTATTAACACAAATCTCATTTACACATACAAAATTAAAAAATAAATTTATTAACAAATATTTAAAACATAATTTCAAATTAAACTTTTTTTTTTTACAATTTAAATTTATCAAATTTATAAACAAAAAAATAAAAAAATAAAAAATAAAAAATAAAAAAAAAGGTTACTAGGCGGCGGCGTCCGGCTGGACTACCACCACCATGGCAGTGGCGCCTGGCTAGGACGCCGGCACCTGGGAGTGGCGCCTGGCCAGGACGCCTGTGGTGAAAGCGCCTAGCCTGGAACCCACCACCATAGTTCCGGCGTCTTGGCCAGGCGCCACTCTCACAGTGCTGGTGTCCCAGCCAGGCGCCACTGCCATGGTACCGGCGTCCTGGCCAGGCGCCACGGCCATGGTGGTGGTGGTCCAGCCAGACGTCGGCCGTCATCGTTAAAACGACGATGTTTTACCTCGTTTTGATGCGACGACGACGACTCTTCGGTCTCCCTCGACAACCCAGTACGACTCCACATTTTTCGATGTGAGAATTTTTCGTTTTGGGTAAGATTTCACAAATGGGCAAAAGTGTCAAACCAAGTGTATTTTGTTGGCTTTATGTAGTAATTTGTGGGCGATGTTTAACAAATCCCAAGAGGAGAGGTATAGAGAGTAAGAAATTTAGTGAATAAAATTAGGCCCAACAAAAGTTGAATAAAAAGTAATAAATAAAGTAAAAGTGAGTAAAACTTAGAAAAATGGAAAGTGAACAAGTCTCAGGAAAACAAAGGTAGTAGTAGAGTTGAGTTTATAGAACACACTGAATCATAGAATAAAGCCATTTCAAGGATCGATGTACTTAGTAATTAGTATACAGCAATAGGTTAGAGTACTCTGATTACAAGGCTACAGCCAAATCATACTAAACAATCGGGATTTCTAACTAATATCAAGGAAACTCTATTATTTGGACCTATACAGTTAATAACCCAGGTGAAGCTAAATAACTAGCGATTATGCACTTAAGCTCCTTCGACATCTAAGGGCAAACTAGTAAACCTTCGCAACATTCAACATTTATACTAAATACAGAAAATTGAGTGGATTAACTCCGTGGCACCAGCTTAGACGGTGTATGATGCCGATTAAGCATATGCTAATAAATATGGCTACCATCAAATCTGCAATTTGAGACTCAAAAATGCAATTGGAAATGCCCACTCTTACGCTCATTTGCAATCAGATCCACTGGCACTTGGTATTGGGTGCTTTTCTATCACACTTGCAGTTTCTGGGTTGCCTAATATGGTTTCAGAAGACCCAGGTCTCTTCCAAACTTTTACTTGCCCCTCTCTGCATGCTGTAAGGATGGAGTGCTGTGTGAAGACCAAGTCTGACAAAGGATCAGTATACACACGATGAGCAACAAGTGGAGAAAGCTTTGGGACATCTCGCATACTTGGAGCAGGCTGTAAAGAGCCCAACGGAACCACACTATCCCATTGTGCTGATTGACTTCCAGCGTTGTATGTGGGTGAGCCACCTGGTGGACAACGACGAAGAGGCACTACAATTTCATCCATCGAAAAATCCCATAAGAGTAATTGAGCGTCCTGCAAATGGAAAGTTTTTTCGCTTAATCATATAGGTGTTCACAAAAAATAAAAAAATAAAAAAATAAAAAAATCAGTCACAACCATAACATGTAACTCATGTAACCCTAGAAAATTCAGGATATATGTAAATAAAAAATGTTATCTAGCAATCTAGCATGGCATGGTCATGCTCTCCAACTTTGATTCCATCAATGTTAAAATATGACAGTCTCTTCCTCACTGTCTTTCTTCTTTCAAACTAATGAAAAGAGATGGGAAAAATTTTATAGGTCTCATCGAGGTAGTCCCATCTGGTAGGATTTTGTGACATTCAGGGAAAGTTATGCATACTTGAAACAATTCTAAAAGAAAACTCATTTGCCCCAGCTAATCCATAAGCAGTGGTAAAAGCCTAAAAGGTGTAACTTCAAACAAATTTAAATTGAAAATAATAATCTATAAAGGAGATTGAAATTATATCCAATGCTGATTTTGTAATTAAAGAAGCCCTGCAATTTATGTAGTCAATGAAATTATATTCATCCAAGACACAGTTATATATTTTCAATTTAGTGAAATGAGAGGGTTAAGGAATTGGCAGCATATATAGTTTTTTCAGGACAAGCTCAGAACTCTTAGATAGCAAACTTATAGGCATCCTTCAGAATCAAGGCACTCTTATACTTTTCATCTCTACTCCCTTGAATCATTATAATCCCCACTTTCTCTCACCTCAACTGAAAAACAATAAACAGCACCCACTACCTTATTAAACCACTTACACTCAACAAAACCCCATCACCATTACTCCCTTAAAACTATGTGCCCAAGAGAAACGAAAAGTTTTATGTGGGATGGAGGGAGTATTAACTAAGAAAATCTTTTGATATCAGGAAAAAATGAAGCATCCTATCAATGTTAAGTTTATTCTCCTTCAATAGGAGTACAAAACATAACCCAACTTGACTGATTTAGCAAAAGGAGATAAGGTGGCTGATGCCTACAGTTTGGAATTTCACAAGGTGTGTATGGTAGATGACACAGATAAATCAAGGGAGCAACAGATATATCATTATCTCAGCGGACTTCGATGTGAGATGAGACTTCCAAGAGCAAATTTCTTTTATAATGATGATGCAGGATATTGCTAGGAGGATGAACAGTGGAATGTTCTCCCTTCCGGGAATCTAAACTCAATATGAGAAGCTGAACAATGGACAATGGAACATACAAAATTTTTTAAGGTTGTAGATCATAATACTTCTTAAGAAATGCGGTGAAAACGGACATAGACGATAAATGTCCTTGGCATACTCTTATGGCAACAACGGGGCATGTTGAAGATGAGATGACCACACTGATGAGACAACATTTTGTAGAGGTGAAATCATTACCAAGGATGAAACCATGAACGTAATGAGGAAAAAGGGCGTAAATATGTTCTCTTATGTCCTTTTGCGTAGCCATTGCCTACATCTAAGACTCATTCATTCCATCAAATTGAAATGTGCATGTATGGTGGACTGTGGTGCTTTTTGAAATTAGTGTCTTTGAAAAGCATATGTTTGTCATGTATATCACATTAACACATTATGAGTTTTAAATTAGACTTAGTGACTTTATGCAATGCATCAAGTTTATCGGGAGGGGCATAGGTCATGCACTACGATAGTTATCTTGAACAGAAAGATGAGTTTGTTAGAGGAATATTATTAATAGAGCACATTTGGGAGATATGATGAATATTGAGGAGTTTTTTATTTAGAAAATTTGTTAGCTTCTGATGGGGCTGTAATCTCCTTAGCGATGACTTGATTGCATTGCTAATACAACACCTAAATTCTCTTATTTCTCAGTTCTACAAATCTGATTCATTCAATAACAGTTTGAAGAGAATTCCCTAACCTCGATCAGATAGATATGAGGGCACAATATGATTGTACAACAATATTCAATGAACCACATACCTGACCAACAGAGCCAAACCGATACATCACATTTTCTCCAGTGCTATCTGACGATGGGGGTGACCAATATGGATCAAAAGCAACTCCACTCACCTGCAAAAATCCAGTTCAAACAGAAAGGGGCACATCAAGAACACCAAAAAAATAAGAAAATTATAAGAGCAAAGGGGAATTGGGCAGTTGGACAGGAAGTATAGTAGCATGCTAGCTGTTACGAATCAGCTCAACACATCTAGGGTGGAGACAAGCAGCAGCAAAAGAGGACAACAAGGCAGAAACGGACAAAAGTCATTCACGTTCCACTAAGGCATTGAGTAACATAAATTGGGCTAACTGATTGTCTGATGCAGTAGTGACAAACCCAATTAATGTTAGGGTTCCTTACAATTGCTTTAGTATAAATATGGGATAGGATATGCAGTAGATCATTTTATGTGAACTGTGAGGAAATATGTTGAGAGTAGTAACCTCAAGTTACTAAGGGAGAGTGATAACCTTTAGTTATCAAGACAGTAATAGTCTCAAGCTATATTAACCTATCACTTTTGTACCCAAATTTCTGCCATTATCAATCAAAGACTCAAGCTTTTATCTTTATTTATTAGCCTTATTAAATCAGAAATACAAGTCAGATTATCAGTCTATAACACTAGCTAAGCAGAGAAATAACTAGGAATCAATCATCCCAATCTAAGAACACCTTTCCCATTGGTCCCTTCCCATAAGCTCAAATGAAGATTACCAGATCAATTTTGTATTCTTGTCTCCACCCCACCCCCCCCCCCTAAATAATAAGAAATGGCCAGAAGGAGGCTTACCCATGAATTGTGCCCCTCACCCCAGGCTATAACTTTGCGATCTTCCATGCTCCAAAGTTGAACTAGATCATCCTCACCACCAGTCAAAATATATTTACCATCCATGCTATGTGAAGAAGAAAATTTCAAGTCAATTGCAATTCTTGAGAGAATAGTAAAACAAATAAAATGATATGTTGTAATGAATAATAAACACAGAATTGGTAAGGCATATATCAAATCTACACATATAAAGCTCTCATGAGTCATAACACAATTTGTTGACATTACCTCCATGCACAACAGAGAATAGCACCATAATAACTTTTTCCTCCACATACTAGCTGTTCTTTCTGGTAGTCAAAAACTCTTAAAAAGCCTACGAAACATAACTGTGTCATTGATGAATAAGCATTATATGGGATCAAACTCAAGTGTGTATAAATATACCATCTCTCCCAACAACAGCCAAATGAGTGCCATCAACAGAGAATGCCATTCTATTGATTGAACCTTGACATATATGCCATCTAGAAATAGGATTGCTCTGCAATTATAATCATTCATGAGAAATCAGACAGGCAGTAATATATAGCTAACAAAATATTATATCCAAAGACCAGCTTTCTGGATCCCAAATTTCAAGCACAAGTTAAAAACACAAGTATTTGCAATTACATTAATCAAACATTACTAAGAATAATAACACCGTTCAATGCGTGACTTGATCATGAATTCCTAAACTAATAATCCCTCTGTTTAGTGTTACAATTGCCTTGTCAGGCTTCTTTTTTTTTTTTTTTTTATTTTAATAATATTATTACTATTTCTCTCCTTTCATATCCCTTACTTTTCAATAAACTATTTACTCCATTAACTTCTCTTACAATTTCTTAGAACTTCATCTATCCCATTTACCTCTTATTATAAATTATAATAAAGTCAAGTAAACCTCCTACAATTATGTGTTGGTAAAAATGTAACACTTTAAAAATTTTAGGGGAGTGCCATTTTTAGGATGAATATCTAATGCTTAAAGCTAGTCCGTAGGGTTGCACATATCACTACCGAATTTAACAAGATTCCCATAGCACAGATTAGGTCCTCACGGTCTAATGATCTTAACCAGCTATATTAATACAAGATATTTTTAAGCGTGGATTGAATTATGACAGAATCCGTGAAGGAAACATCAACAATGCAGAAATAATAGCAAGAAAACACATACTGGAACATCCAATCTTGATCTAAGGATTACTTGTAAATCAATGTGACACAATGCACAAATCCAATGTTAATACATTAGTTCAAAGCCTTGACAGAAGTCCCCAAGTTATTAAAATGTAAAACTAAGTGATTTAACCTATTCTCAACAATTAAAAAGGGAAATTACAGTACATAGGCTGTGTTCCAAGCATTCCTAGTTTCTACATGTTGTTTCCTTTAAGACATACATTGAAGGCACTATGAAGGAGCAGGGGCAGAATTCATCAGTAGAAGAGGTCAAGTTTCTCAGATTATAAGTAGTACCTCACCTTGCTAGATTTTGCATGTGCAATAGAAAATAGAGTCGGATCCTTTATGAGTGGGAAAGACGAATCAACAGTAGCATCCTTTCCCTAAAAGATAGTAACAGTTCTCTTGAACAATAATGTAAAAGATAAATAGAAGAGAGGACAGAGAACTAAAAAATCACTTATATGAAGCTTGCCTTCTCATACACATACACGTTTCCATCAGCATGAGCAACAACAAAGAAACCATTGACTTGAGGAACCCATGCTACACTGGTACACCGGCTGCTTTAAAATTTAAATTGTCACATGATTTGATCAAATAGAGTTGCAAGAACAAGGGAGTACATACAATTCATGTAATAGGATAGGCAAGAACTTTAATGTTCACATGAGCAATCGCAATAAACAAGAAAGTTACACACATTATCCATTCTACAACATGCGGCATATTATGGCAATGTTCTCTTCACCTGAATTTCATTGATCTTAAATTATCTTATTTTATTAGTTATCAACTCATCTTATCTTAATATGAACTTTTCAACCCTTATGGGTTTTATGACTCTTATCTTATCTTATTATATTGGAATTTATTAGACCTTATAGGAGCCTTAAATAAGGTCTTATTAGACCTTATTGGAACTTGTTTTTATCTAATCTAGAACTTATCAACCCTTATCATATGTTATTTGAACTTATTAACCCTTACATTATCTTTATCTAAAAATTATTAGCCCTTAATTAACCTTTTTTTTTTTTTTGAAACCCCCTTAATTCAACTTATTAGATCTGAAATAAGTGAAAATAAGGTGAGGAGAGCAGAGCCTAAAAGATAGAATATAATAAGTAACTAGATAACTTATACTTTAACAATGAACAAACTGATATACGTATTTAGCACATCAAGTGAAGCACAAATTAAAAGTGGAATTTGCAAAAGGGTATGGTGTAACGCTGCATTAGCATTATAACTGATTATATTGGACCAAAAACCATAATAATTATACCAACAGCATAGATAAGTCCTTTAATCTAATCAAATGAGGTTCCAAAAAAAAATTATTTACAGAGGTGGTAAAGTAGAAGCCAAAAAAAATTCAGGAAAAGTAAAGAATGTTCTTAATCCACTTTAATATGCTAAAACTCAATAATCGTAAAATTTGACAGAATCTATGAGCCAAAGAAACAACATATGAACCCATATTGAGATGACAGCATTATAAATATCAACTAAAGATACAAAACCCTGAAATCGAATGCCTAAATATTTAATGCAAGATGTAGGTCTTGCCTGTTATTAATGGAGCCATCTTTGTTATAGTGATGTGCTCCAACAAGCTTCTTTCCAATACCTTGCAACTGCTGTCTTAAGGATACTGTGTACACTGCAAAAATAAAGATAGATACAAATATATAGTCATTTCAGGGCAACAAAAAAGAAATAAACATCAGCCAAGCAGCAAAAAAATACCATCTCCAGAGTTTAACCCTATCAGTAAGTCATGGCCATCCTTAGCTTCAGGATTAAAGGTATGACAAACAGGATTTGAACTGGCAAAGTGTATGGATTTAATAGGATCCTACATAAGCACATGCATCTCTTAAGTCACAAGATGTTTATTCCCAGATTAATTTAACAGCATCAGAATGGGGTAAGGATTAGATTAAAAATATAATAATAAATAAATAGATAATTAAACAAAAAATTAAATAGATAATAAGCGTCACCTTCTCCTGCGAATTTAGATCACTAATATACAAAGTGTCTCCCACATTATATATTATGTACATTCCTTTACCATCAAAATTGGTGATTGGCGAACTACTACCATTACTGGAGCTTCCAAGTGTAGCAGTTTTTGTAGCCGCAGCAACAGCTTTATTAGCTCCATTAACTCCTACAAAACTAAGAGCTCGCCCTCCATTATTCGAGCCTAACAACTTTGCAGCAGCTGACCTTACGCTACTACTTGCACTATAACCTAAGCTTGATGTGGGTGTTGATGAAGCTGTTTTTTCCTTGAGATTAGCTAATGTTACCTGAAAATAATTTTCCAGCAAATAACAATGAAAAACTAAGATGGGTTTGATAGAAACCAAATCAAAAAGATGAATTGTTGAATACTATTCATAGTCTAGTCATCATAACTTATAAAATAGTGTCCAAGGTCATTGTAAAAAGAGGTTGATCGCATTTAAGAGATGTTATTTGTTCTGACCACATTAAGAGGACATTGGGTATGAGGTAGAGAGAGAAGGAAAAGGAAATGAACAACACTTATTCCCTTTGTTGTTTGTTAGGACATTTTAATCATTCCCTTTACCCTCTCCTTACCCCTATAAACTTTTACTTTGATTACCCACCCACCACCATTCCATCAATGCACCAACACCACTCCACCACTACTACTCACTGGAACTGCCACTTTCACCATCAGCGCCCACCACTATTACCCTCACCGGAACACAACACACCACCAGCTCAACCCAACCAAAAACCCCTCTTACCTATCTCGGAACCACCCAAAAACACTCCCACCCACCCAAAAAATTCTCCATCCACCCAAAACCACCCTCACCCATCCATAAACCACCCGCATACCCACTCACCCACCCACTTGAAAATCACCCTACTACCTTGAAAATCCACCCATACCCAACAACACCAAAAATCCACAAAATTAATTTCGCACAGAAAAAAAAAATCAAAAAGAAAATGAAACATACCTTCTTATCATCAATTATGGTTTTACATGGTCAAATTTGATCAAATATAACAATGGTGATGGCAGAATAGTTAGAAAAGGAAGGAGAATGGCAACGGTGTGGTGGTCGGAAGTGGGGCGGGGAGATGACGATGGCGATGAGGTAACTAAGGGCGATGCTGTTGTAGGAGAGGGGCTGAGGTAACTAAGGGTGATGGTGTGAGTGGTGGTGACTCCATAAAGAGAGTGTGAAGCATGGTTTAGCAATGGTGGGAAATAAATATATGTTCAATTACCAAACAACACTACAAATCAAAGGGACTTTCCATTCTCCTTCTTTCCCTCTTTTTGATGAACCAAACACCTCCTAATTTTATCCTGGGGAGGATATATAATTCTAATTTTATATAATCCTGTGGGGGGGGGGGGGAGAGGGGGGATTCCTTAGGTAGTTTTCTCTAAATCTAGACTTGTAAAAGATTTATGGAGACTTGAAATGAAAGTCATAATAGAATGCCTTAACTTATTTTATTTTTTCACTAACTTCACGAATGTTACAACACATTGTGCCACTTTTGTTTCTCTTCAATTCTAATAAATTCCACCCTTCTAAAGGAATTCTGCAAGAGTATCCTATTCCCCCTTACTGTCGTATACTTTGCACGAAACTCCTTTCAACACTAATCTATGAGGCTTACACTTCAAAATCTTTGTCCCTCTTAAAGGCAGGCCAAACAAATGAATGGGCATAAACATAACTCTTCTTCTTTCACAAGTCACAAAACCAATCTCATTGAATTGATGTTTAAAAGCAAACTCTTAACATTCAGTCTGTTATGGACCTTGGTTCATACCTGGTTCCCCTAACGCAAAGAATGCCTTCATATAGCATTGCTAATCCAATCAACCCTTAAAATATTGTAAAGATACTTCATGCAAGGAATAGGCTTTCCCAATTACATTCTCAAAAAGCTTGATTAAATTTTAGAAAACTTCTTTTAAAGGTGAGAAAAATGAACTGGATTGCTTGGGAGAAGATTTATAAACCAAATAAGGGAGGGGAGGTAGTTCTTTTTTAATTAATTTATACAATATCCTTAGCGGAACCAGCCTGGATAGAATTTGTTAGAAGTGTCATGACACAATAGGGTAATTGCCTTCATGGTGGAAAACATTGCTCGTATAGATCTTAACCCCTGAGTTTCAACAAACAAAAAAAAAAAAAAAAAAAAAAAAGGATTCCTACATCTAGAAAGAGATAAAAAATCTATAAGGAAAGTCCAAGTTGGAAAAATGGAACAAACCTTTGGTTAGACAAATGGTTGGAAATAAAAGCCGTATCAGTCCACGTATAGGGCCTCTAAAAGTTGGTAAGAATAGAAGTTTGCAGCCCATCAGGTAGGTGGTGATAAATAAGGGTACTAGGAATGAATTTGTACGTAAATTTGAAAAGAGCATCCAATGTCAACGCCCATGACAATGCAAACCAACCCAAGCGTTTCCATCTTTCTTCCAAGGATTTCATTAACATTTCCACTTGTGGTAATGGGTGGTAAAAATTGATGAAGAAAGATTAAGTTTAGGGATGGGATTGCATTACCATGGACATAAAGATATTACATTGCCTTGCAAAATTATATTTTGTATGTCTTTTGGCTGGTGCCATTGTATTGGTGGATGAGACTAACGTTGGGTTAAATGTTAAACTAGAACAATGGAGACACACGTTAGAACAAGTAAATCAGAGTACATGGAATGCTGATGTAGCAATCAAGGGAGACAAGCAGAGATATAGTGCTTGTGGACATAAAGAAGTTGTTGAAGAACAAGATGGATTCAATGGCGTATTAGTTTCAGCGTCAAGTTCAAGTAGTTTTTACTCTTTTTTTTCTTTTCTTTTCTTTTTTTTTTTTTTACGCTGAAATTAATACACCATTGAATCTGTCTTCGGGAATTCAATATAATTTCAGCAATATATCATCAAGGTCAACCCAAATTCCACAATTTAGGAATTAATTCAATCACAAAACTCATAATCGAAAACAACATCTGATAATTGACATACCTACAAAAGTAAATGCAGAAATATAACATCACATAACATCGAAAAAACGATCAATCGATCAAATAACCAATCCAATCAAAAAATCATCAATCAAAAACAACAACCTAGAATTCGATATCAAATATCATCAAACAATTACAAATGATGAGCAAAAACAAATGAAATTGAAGAAAGAAGAAACCTGAGAAACGGTTTTGCCGTGAGAATAATGGAGAAGAGTAGAAGGATGAGACTTCTCGGAATGAAGAGTGTAACGGCCTTCAGGAGTTTTAAAGTAGGCTTTGAGTCCGGTGGTGGCGGGAGAAGATACGCCGCCGTTGACGGTGACGCTGTTGGTGGTAGTGGTGCTGCTATTATTCATGGTTTCGGCGACGACAACGACAACGACGACAATAGGAGATGATGAAATCTAAAAGTGTAGCATTTGTTCATGGCATAGTTTAGTTGAGGGTTTGACCGGATCAGAGATTAGTGAGCTTGACTTTGAAAGTTTCTGATCAATTTTTATTTTTTTGGTGTGGTACTTTTGGATCTGATTTTTAAGTGATCTTCAATCTGTATTTTCTGTTACTCCACTCATAATTAGGAATGGTAATATTAGATGCATATCTGTTAACCTAATCCACCCGCTTAAAATAAATATACGAAAATTCGAAATAAATAAATGGATGAAAAGCGGGTCACGGATCGGATCGAATATGGACGAAGATTTTTTCACCCGCTAACCATCCACCCACCCGTTTAACATATATAAAGCTTTTTAATCTAAGAATTTCAATTAAAAAAATTAAAAATATACAATAAAAATACTTTATTTTGTTGCAAATTAATTTTGTAAGAGAATATGTGATTAGTATTTTCTTTTTATTTGAAAAATAATAATAATTCATGTAAAAATAACCATAAATTAAATTTTATGTGAAATTTTTTTTTCACAAAATGTTCATCCATTAGTCACCCAATTCACCCGTTTCATTCGCGGATGATGGATGGACGGATATGGATGATGGGTGATGGATTGATGTGGATGAAACAATTTGAATGATGGATGGATGCGGGTGAAGCTCTACCCGATCCGAATTCGATCCATTGTCATCTCTACTCATAGCTCAAGTAAAAACCGGATTTGATCTCACAATTGCAAATTTTTCTCACTAGACCAATTTTTGCTTAGTACCTTATTATCATTTGCAATCATGAATTTGTGATATTAAGGCCTAGTTTGGTAGCACATTTATAATAGGGGAAATACAAATTCATGGGAAGTGAATTTATGAGTTGTTATTTGGTTAACACTTACGTGGGATGCTGAAATTACTTAGAAAATGGAAATTCCTACAAAACATAGGAATTTAATTACCCCACTATTCCTTGGTCAATCAAATTTCTCTTGTTTATTTTTGCATGAATTACATTTTTACCCTCTAAAATTGGGAAAGGTGGAATGGAATTACATTATTACCCTCTAAACTTCGGAAAAGTTCTTATAATATATGAGAATTATATAGTGTTAACCAAACAAATCATAGGAAGTATATTCCTAGGAATTACAAATTCATTTATGTCAACCAAACAACATTATAACATTTCCTAGAAATTCTAATTTTCCATGAATTTTAATAGCCCATGGGAATCTACTTTCCATATGCAACCAAATGAGGCCTGAGCTAACTGGTGGCGTAGAGGTGGGTTGGTTGGTTTTTTTTTTTTTTTTTTTAAAAAAAAAAAATTTAATTACTAGGGTGACTAATGCGCACGCCAAAGTTAGTCATATTTAGAGTGCCTTTTCTATTTTGGAAACATTGATGAGGGAAAATATGTAAACAAATATTTTTAAGGGTATAAATGTCTATACACTATTCATAATAGTTAAAAAAGAAAAGGCAATTAACATTAATGAGAATAAATAAGTAAATAAACATTTTAAAGAATATAATTGTCCAAACACTATTCATTAAAATTAAATCATAAAATCACACAAAAACTTAGATGCAATTAATATCATATCAATAGGGGCATATAAGTAAATTAACTTTTTTGGGGTATAATTGTCCTCATACTATTCATAAGTGTTTTCTCATACGTTTTAAAAGGTATGGATTAAAATAAAAAAAAAACTAACCATTGTTAATGATTTTAATTAAAATATTTATTAACTTTGGTAATCCATAATACAAGGTTACCAAAGATTAATTTTCTTGCAATTCACCAAAGAGAAATATAAAAATTTCAATATTACCAAAGAAAATGGAAAATATCCCTTTCTTTCAAAGGATGTTGTTGCGTTAGATAACTAATTAATACTTCCTTAAAATAGTACTCCCTCCATTTCGTAATAATCGCCAAACTTTGACTTTGACACTATTTATATGCTTACTTTGACTATATTATACGATAGAGAGGATTATAGATAGAATCATAGGAACTCAGGTGAATAGGAGATAGAAAGAGAGAAAATATGTGCAAATAGAGAAATGTTGCAATATTTATAAAACTTTCTAAAATGGTAATTTTTGCTATATTTATGGAACAGCGCAAGTATAATACTTAAAATAGTATTCAGTTAGAATGCATGACAAAATCACGTGTCAATCGGTGTAGTTAATGTTAATTTTACTTAAGTAATTCTACATTTATCTCTCTTATCTAACGTCATGTGGAACCTCGTTAGCTTTTTCCTTTTCAAAATACTCTACCCCAAAATAATAAACATGGTTCATTTAAAAACTTTGACTTCAATAATTTACTAATTTATTAAAAATAAATATTATCCCTACCTTTTAAAAAATATGAAAGAGCTCTTATTGATAGTGTGTGGACGTTTATACCCCTAAAAAATGTTTGATTACATATTTGCCCCTATTTATAAGTTTGAGAAGCTCTTTTTATTATTATTACATTTCCTTAATAAGTACTCTAGATATATCAAACATTTACATTTCCCCTAATTTTTATTGCTTCCTCACTAAATCTATATTAAGTAGCTATACAAGTTTTGCCGCTTCCTCACTAAATCAAAATTAATTAGCTATGCTAAAGTTTCGAAGAATATTGCACGGCTATACAACATCCAACACATTTATCGCCTATATGAAAATAGTTATAATTAATAAAATGCTATGCAAATACGTGTAGGACATTAAGTGCGATTGCAAAAATTCTTTCCAAAAGACTAACCGCATTGCGCACGTCGGAATACCTAGTTAGGTAAAATGTTGTTGATAAGTATTAATGTAAACTTTTATAATATTAATATTTTAATACAGAGTAATTTTTACTATTCTAATTAATTATATATGGTCAAATTAGTGCATTGACAAGTGTGTCTAGTTTGATTGTGTCAATTACACTTAAACGGAGAGAGTATTAGTTGAGGCAATGGTCATAATCCGATGAGTGGTACTTGTAAAACAAATAGTAAAAAGTACTTCATTTCTTGTGAACTTTATTTAAAAGCTGCAGCTTTCTCACAAAAACTTAAATTAATAGGTAGTTTCTAGCAAATTTTCTTTTCAAAAATGAATTTAAGTTATATTTTTTCTGTTTCTATTTAGATGACACGTTTAATTTAGGTACACACTTTAAGGAAAGGAGAGAGAATGTTAAAGCAAGTGGGTAGACCATGTGCTTTAGCTTGTTTAATCAAGTTTATAGTGGGGTCAACCAAAAATAAACTTCTCAAAAAAGGAATATGTGTTAACTAAACCTAGCCCGACCCAATTTCGGGAGGGTTTTGGGCCCGGCCCGAAATTTTATTTTTTTTGGGCAGGTTTGGGAATGCGTTTTTATGCATTTTTAGTTGATTTTTTTGGCCAGCCCGAAAAGCCCGAACGACCAAGCAATTTTGGGTGGGTTTGAGCATAAAAATCCGACCTAAAGCTTGGCCCGACCCAGCCCAGCCCGAGAAGTGGGTTGACTTTTTTGGCCTCGACTTGACCCACCAAATGATCACCTTTAGTGTGAACTAAAAAAAAGCTTCCAAAAAGGAATACGCGTCAACTAAAAAAATGAAGGTAGTATATGTTTTTGGTTACAAATTCCATAATTTCGAAATGACTAATATGAATTCATGATTCATTGAGTGCTAAAGCAATTCACTACAAATGCTAATGACTTTGAGTGTAATCTTGTAACACCCTAGAAATACTTTCCTTTAAAATACTTGTTTTGTTCTTTTTAAAATACGAAATAGAAAATTCTAAGACATTACCGCCACCGTGATAACGGCTAAGGCAATTATCAAAGACACACAGCGAAGACTCACTTAAAAACCATTCAAAACAAGTCAACTTTAAAAGTCAAACAGAGTCAACCTACAACTTGGAACTATTGTAGGCCCTTTTCAAAACCAAACTAAGTATTTAAAACATTGCGTTAGTCACACAAGCAATTATAATAATAATCAAAGCAAATAAAACACATCATATTCTTATAAAAACTAAACAACATTCGCTTTTCACTCATTCCCGTCATGAATATGCTTCATCACCTAAAAAACTTCTCTTTACTTTGTCCCCACTACTCTCCATTAGAAATGAGTCATCGTAGGGCCAAGGTAAAGACAAGGCCAAACAAACATACAAACACACAATCAGCAATGCTGAGTACATAAGCGTAAACAGTACACACTAACATGCTTTCATCCTAACATCACACAACTTACCTTGTTGCACCTGTTTACAAGCATACAACATACAAATCAATTAATGAATAATTAAATGGAAAATTTGAAAAAAATAATCCCAACTTTTGTCCGTTCGCTCAAGATAATCCCAACTTTGGATTATTTTTAAATAATCCGGACTTTATGGTTCATTCGCTCAAAATGGTCCCAACCGGTCAACCAACCTGTTATAAAAGATTAAGGTGACACGTGTCACCATGTGATTGGTTGAAAAAGTGTCACCACGTGATTGGTTGAAAAAAATAAAAAAAAGAAAAACTTTTATAAAAATAAAAACTGCCTAGCCACCCACGGGCCTGCCTCCCCATCCCGCCACCTCCGCTGCACCCAAATCTCCCTCCCCACGCCGGCGACACCCCTCCGGCCTTCCCCTTACCCCCATTCGTCATTCCTTCCCCTTGAACCACCAAACCACCACACAAAACCCCTATCCCCCACCACCTTAAATCCCTAATCAAACACCGAAACTTCGTTGTCGTCGTTCAGCCGTTCACGAAGAAATTTCAATCTCCTTCTTCGCTCTTCCATTCTCAATTTTTCACTCTTCTCAATTCAAGGTTCTCCTTGTCGCCGAAATAGAGGTGTCTCCGGTTTTTATGGGATTTTGGGTGGAGGAGGATAAGGTTTTTGGGGTGGTGGTTTGGAGGTTAAAGGGGAAGCTAACGGTCGACGATAAGGTGGTGCCGGTGCCGGGAGAGGGGCTGGGTGCGGCGTACGGTGACGGCGGCGAGATTTGGCTAGGTTGGACTGGGTGAGGGGCTTTGCCGGAAACAGGGACGTGGGTGGTGGTTTGGTTCATGGCTGGGCTGGTTTTTTTTTTAGTTTTTTAATAATTCAAATAATAAAGTGTTGACACATGTCAACTTAAATTAAAAAAAAAAAAAATTACCTCTTTAA